GAGCCATTATTCATTACACCACCCACACATCCAAGCTTATACCATCTGGTATTCTCCATGGTTTTAAATTCTGAGTATTCCTTCTTATAGACTAGATGCCACCCAAGGCTAGTTTACAGAGTTGTTTAACACAGAGTTTGGTGAGGAAAAGACAGACTCATGCCTTTTCTCAAGTGTATTCGCATGAAAGTGAATGCAACATGCTAGGCAATTAACTCAGTTTCTGTAAAATGAAACTCACGAAGCTCAGAGAATTTGACAGTGAAAATAAAACAAAGAAAATTGATGCATAACAATTACATTTTCTTTGTTTCATTTTACAAAATCTCAAAAGAAAACGTTTCATTTTTATTTGAACAGAGATATCTTTCTTGAATTAATACATTTTTTAATTACCTTAATTAATATCTTAAATAATTCAGGTGTTTATTCTACTTCCTGAAGGGCAACAGGATATTTTCAAAGATTTTCATTCTTCACAAACCAATCTTATATAAGTTTCAAGAGAATTCATTTATTTACTAAAAATCTCTTTAGTTGTCTAGTTTTACCAATCTTAAATACCTTCAGATAATAGAACAATATCTTCTACTATGAGTATGTATGCAATTGTTTCGTTTAATTATTTTATTTATCTTTGTGTGCAATTACTGATATTTGTTTTGTCCTGAGGTTAGAGCAAAAATATAAGTGCATGATTCATATCAATGTCATCATCTTCAAGAGGTTCTGTTTCTATCAAACTTATAAAGAGGTTTTCACTGCTTTTATTTATCCTGTCTGATTGTCTCTTTCTTTCTTTATTTTTTCCTTCTTTGTCTTTATTTTCTTGTCTTTTCTTTTTTTTCCTTTTGTCTCTTTCTTTCTTGCTTTTTTTTCTTTCTTGCTTTCTTTTTTATTCTTTCTTTCTTGCTTGCTTTCTTTCTTTTGTTCTTTCTATTTGTCTTACTTTCTTGCAATTGGTTTATTTCTTTCCTTCTGTTTATTTATTTATTTTTTCTTTCTTTTTGTTTGTTTCTTTCCCTCTGTATGTTTCTTTCTTTCTTTTATTTTGTCTTTTTCTTTCTTTCTTTCTTTCTTTCTTTCTTTCTTTCTTTCTTTCTTTTTGTCTGTCACTTTCTTTCCTTTTGTCTGTTTATTGCTATCTTTCTTTTCTGCCTGTCTCTCTTTATTTAACTTTTTCAGTCTCCTTCTGTTTTCCTTTTTTTTCCATCCTTTTGGTCTCTTTTTTTTCCTTATCCATGCTTTTGAAAATTTTTATTTCTCATTGTCTTTCCTATTTTCCTTCTAACAGTCTGTCATATAGGAAGAAAATGTGTAATTACCAACATAAATGTAACACCCTGAACTTATGAATATATGTTTTCTGCCAGGTGTATAAATAGTGATGTCAGACTACTGACTGTGGTGATTATTGAGTGATTATTGAGTGGAACTATCCAGTTGAATTAGTGTGAATTATTGTACATCGATGATTTGGGTTTTGATTTAGAACTTACCGGGCATTAAGCCGAGCCAATCTACTAACAAGGTATTCACTGAAATGGTTAATTATCTTTGGTTTCACTTTTACTGTGCTCTGTTATTTAATCTCCCCAAAAGGAGCAAGATGGATGCATACCTTTTCCAAGGGCATTAGTGTGAAGTGAATGAAACATCATCATCATTCAACTGTAGTTGGGATTATCAAGCCAATGCAAATGATTCTTTCTTTAGTTGTATAGTATGTGCTATACCATGGTTACATACAATTTTGAATTCAGAGTTACATTTTTCTTAGACCGGTTGTCACCCAAAGCTACAGAACCCAGTCTATCCAGCTATTTACCCATAGCTGGGGAGAGAAGAAGAGGATCCATACCTTCCCCAATGGTATTAGCACGTAAGTGAATGTAATGAATCTAAATGGAATTCGAACTCGGCTCATCCATTCACTTCCAAAATGAATGAAACAAATTCAACCAAAATTTGAACCCCAGCCTGCTGATTCCTCTTTCCAGGTCGATGACCATTACTTTACGTGCACATCCTAGTTGACGGCCGCATCACCGATCGCCGAAGTTAAGCAATGTCGTGATGGGTGACCTCTTGGGAATACCAGATGCTGTGAGCTTGGATGTGCGGGTGGTGTAATGGATAATTGTTCGGATTAAAATTTGGTCATAATGCATCTCAAAGTGCTGATAACATTAACAAAGCATGGGGTCAAAGGTCTACTTGTCTTCGGAGAGTACGGTGTTGGTTTCTGAAGTTTCTCAGTGGAGATATGAGTCTTGAAGATCATGATAGTAGAGGAAGTCCATCTGCAATTAACAAAATATGAAAACACTAGTTGAACAGAATATACGTTAGAGTATCAGTGAAATGTCTCAGGTAATGGATGTCAGCATTTCAACAATATCGGACCAAGTCAATAAAATTGTCAATGTGAAGAAACACGATAAATGGTTTTCACATGAACTCAGTGAATCTTAAAGAGTTTGACATTTTGAAGTGTGATCGACGCTGCATCTGCTAATTTCGAATGATCGTTTCTTTGATCAAATAGTGACTTGTGTTGAGAAATGTAAACGATCGGCTCAATGACTTGACCTTGACTAAACAAAAGTCACTATGGTGACTGTCTGGTGGTCCTTCACCAAATAGTCACCATAATGGCAGGCACCATATATGGCAGCAATATTCTAAGCATGGACGAATGGTAGACATAGATATGAAAGATAGATCCCGGAGAGAAAAATTGTCTCGCACGACACAGTGAGCCAAATTTCCTAGCAGCTGACCTAGCAATGGATTCAATGTAGCCTTTCCACTTCATGTCAGCTGAGAACGTTAGCCCGAAAAGGCACAATGAACCACTTTCCTAAAGGATACCATGTCATTCTAATGGAAGGCAGTGAGAGGGCTGTCTTTACGGTTATCTGGAATCTAACTAAAGTTGGTTTATCGACGAGGCCCAATTCTGCTTTATGGCAATGCTCAGCCAAATGTTGCCAGGATAGCACTGAAGAAGCTTACCGATTTGGGATAAGAGATTTTGCCACGTCCATAATATTTCCCTGGTCTCTCAACCACGAACAACCAATTTTTCTTGCATCTTGACGATTTCTGATACAAAACACATTCCGTTGCAAAGATGATTGCGAAATTCCATTCAATGATTATATACACCTTATCTTGAACACGAATGAAGGAGAAATGTGTTTATGTTTTGACATCAGTTCGAGCTTATAATGTTTCTCAAACCGCTGCCAACATTAACAGAAGATTAGGTTACGGATCCACTTATGATGGGACAGCACGGCGCTTGTTTCTGAAGTTCCTCAGTAGGGATATGAGTCTTGAAGATCAAGGTAACAGAGGTCATCATTGACAATCAACCTCTGAAAACACTAGTCAAACATAACCCATATCAAAGTGTCAGGGAAATGTCCCAGATAATGGGTGTCAGCATTTCAACAATATCGGGGCCATCTCAATAAAATTGGCAATGCGAAGAAACTAGATAAATTGATTCCACATGAAAGTCAGAAACGAGGTCTTGAAGTGTGTTCAATGCTGCATCTGCGAAATTTTAATGATCCATTTCTTGATCGAATCGTAGCTTGTGATGAGAAATGGATCGTTTATGATAATCTTAAACGATCGACTCAATGGCTTGATCATAACGAAGCACCGAAATACTTTCCTATAGTGAAATTGCACCAACAGAAGTTTATGGTTACTGTCTGGTTGTTTGCTAGTCTGAAAGCTAACCAGAACATCACTGCCGAAGTTTACTGCCAGCAACTGGATGAAATACACATTTAGTTAAGCAAAATGCGACCGACATTGGTCAATCGAAGAGGTTCAATTCTGCTTCATGATAAAACTCATGTTTCCAGGATGACGCTGCAGAAGTTCATCGACTTGCGATGTGAAACTTTGCCATACAACCCGCCATATTCCTATGATCTCTTGCCCGCTGAATACCACTTTTTCAAGCATCTTGACAATTTGTATCTTAATCCAAACGACATAAAATTGCAAAGAAGTTGTAGGAACAGCATTTAAATATTTCTCGGCGTCCAAACGTTTAGGGTTTTAACATAAAGGCATAATTAACCTTGACTGCAGAAACGTATAGATTTTCAGGGTTCCTATTTTGACTGATTCAAACACTGTTTAAATAGATTTATTCAGAAATAAAACTTGGTTCTAAAAACGGACATTTTCCCGAACAACATCATACATAAGGTTCCAAAAGGTTTCACGTGGCCGTTGGTCTCTTAGAAAATTCCAAGTTCTTGGATTCGTCACTGTGTTTCCGAGGAGTTGTCTCTCTAATCCCCAGATATCAATACACTTGAATTTTACTTGTAGGGATTAGTGTTAGGCTGTCACTGTGTGTATAAATTGCCCCATGCATTTAAAATGCAATTGTGTCCAAATAACCGGATATGTGGGCACTTGCACGTGGTGTAGTTGTTAGCAAGCTTGTCTCGCTAGATCCATTAGCACTGAATAGTGAGTTCTATCCTTACTGGGTGCTCCATACTTTCAGCGTTGTGTCACATTCAAGATATACTTAGAAAAACCCCATAGAAGTAAATGTATTAACACAAAATTACCATTAGCGAGGAGGGATATCCAGAAAATTGAAAGACCAAATTTGTTGAGACAGACGAATATTTCTGGTCGGGCAGAATTCTGAAGTTACTTGGAAGATGAAAGAAGAGAATAAAAAAAGTTAAATATGCCGTTTAGCAAACTTGATGCTAAATATCAAAGAAAAAAATCTTCTTTTATTTTGACTTAATAATTCCTTTTTGGTTACCCAGTAAAATTGAAATTCTATCCTTGAAAGTTAGGTTGGTTGATTTTAAAGCATCTAAACTCTTATTAGGTTATTTAATGTCAAAACCAGATGTGTTAACACGAAATTACCATCAGCGGGAGAGGTATACCTGAATGTATTTTCCAAATAATCGTGACCAAGTAAACTTTATTTTATTAATAAG